TTAAATCGAAAACACGAAAAATAATACGGCCCACGTAAATAATATTTTATTAAATACATATAATCACGTGTAATTATATGTATCTAATCACATATGATTTACATGAACAATATTCATTTTTGAATTCTTGATTCACTAGTTTTTCACGTGTATTTAATCACATGTGATTATATGTATTTAATAACATATAAATCATATATGATTCGATACATATAATCACATGTGACTCGATACGTATAATCACATGTTATTATATACACGATAAAAACTAATGAATCAAAAACACAATAACAAATCTTTGTAGGTGGGGGTGGGGTGATGGCGACGGGTGGTGGAGGCGGGGTAGTGGTGGTGTGTGGTGATTGGTGGGTGGGTGGTTGCAATTGGTGGTGATAGTGATGGGTGGTGGTTTTGGTGGGTGGTGGTTGGTGGTGGTGGGTGGTGGTGGCGGGTGGTGGGTAGTGGTTGGTGGTGGTGGGTAGTTATGGGTAGTAGGTAGTGGTTGTTGGGTGTGGTGGCAGGCGGTTGTGATGGGTGGTGGCGACGAGTGGTGATGGTGGTGGTGGTGGCGGGTGGTTGTTGTTGTTGTTGGTTGGTAATGATGGGTGGTGGGTGGTGGTTAGTGATGAGTGGTGATGGGGGGTGGTAGTGGTGGGTGGTGTTGGTTGGGTGGTGAGTGGTGTTAGTTAGTGAGTTTTTTAATTGTTTGTAACTATTTTTTGATTTATATAAATATTATTTTATATTTTTAATTAAAAAATTGTGTGGTCCAAATTTGTTCTCAAATGTTCTCGCGATAAGAAATGTTCTTGATTGAACGCTTCCCTCCCTCTCTCTCTCTCTCTCTATATATATATATATATATATATATATATATATTGTAACACTCCGTTTATTTATTTAATAAAAAAAATAAATTAACGAATGAATTGAAGCCCTAAAATAAATAATTATATAGCAAGGTGATGGTCTCGAGGAGTTAACTGTCATAATTTTAGAAGGCGGGGATTAAAGTGTAAAATTTGGACTTAAATTGTAAGTAATATTGAAGACAGGGGCTGCTTGGTAACAATTAGGACTCAATATGAAAGGAATTATGGAAGCAAGGGATAAAATGTAAATTCCGGATTTATATTGTGAAGATTTATGGAATCAGGGGTTAAAAAGGTAAATCTTGGGTCTGTTTTGAAAGAAAATGGGGAAAGAGGGATTGTTTGTGTAAACATGGGAGGAAGTTTGGATGATGCGGGATATATAAACCCGCTACACGCTGAAACCCTAAACCTAAGGAGCAGCCACCGGGTGATCTTCCAGCCGCCAACCTCGTGTCCAGCCGCCATTGTCGTCGGAGTCGGGAACCATCGGTCGAAGCACTGTTATCTCCGTTCTGCTACCGGCGACGGAGAGAAGTCGATGACCGTTGCCGCCACACCTCTACCCTTTATTCTTCTCCTTTTGTTCTGTCTCCGTTCGTAGTCATTCATAGTGGTCTCCGACGTCTCAACTGCCCTTGCTCCTGACGTGACTTCGCAGCAGTCGCTCGCTGCTGCTACCGCCGTCGTTCCATGCGGTGGTTCTGCTATGTTTTGGGTGCCGCCGCCACAACGAGGGAAGCTCTTTCGGGTGGCTTCTTTGTGTTGTATCTCATGCAGTGGGTGTATCGAATTTAAGCCGTGTGTGGGAGGTATTGGCTGGAAAACGCATGAAGACCACCATGGCAGCCAACCATGGTGGCTGCCGTCATCAACACCGCTGTAGAACGGCAGTCATCGCTGCCTTTCCATTCCTGCTGCCTCAAGATTGCTAATGGGGTGCGTTTTTGTGTTCAAAGTGGGTTGTGTGTGCTAGGTTTTGCTGCTATAAGACGAGAGGTGTATGTGAGTGGGTTTAATTAGCCGGAAAAGCCACCACCACCACCATCGTGAGGTGATGGCTGCCACCATCTACCACCGCCGGCCACCACAAGGTGGTTGTGCGTGTGTATGTGTGTTGTATTAGTGTGTGTGTTCTTTGGGGTTTCGTATTGTACATTGTAACAAAAAAATGGAATAATGAGAAAGGAATTCGAAACCACCACCGTCAGGTGGTGGTTGCCGCCTCCTGTCGCCACCGGCCGCCGTGTCGGGTGGCGGTGTGCTTTGATGGTGTTTGGACTCGTTTGGATGATTGGACAAGGGACCAAGAAACCCTAATGGTCCCAATGAGGCTTAATGGGCTTAATGAACCCTAATGGGCCCAATGATGCTTAATGGACCCAAAAGCCCAAACATGTGACTAATGGGTGTAATAAACCCTAATTGGCCTAAGGAAAACCCTAATGGGCTTAAGGACTTGGTTTTGGGCCTATTGGGCTAAGATGGGGTTGGAAACCCTAATTAGGGTTTAGAAAACCCTAATATTGGATTTATGGGATTGGACTTATTGGGACCCACTTTTGGGCCATTGGAATGGAATTGTGTGATTAAGCCCAATCACACCATATGACTTATTTAGAAGAATGATGGACTTAATGGATTAGGTCCTTAATGGGTTAAGTGAGAAACACTTAACCCTAATCATCATTTTATGTGAAAACCCTAATTTCATTTGGGTTTATTATTGGGCCTTTCTATTGGGCCTTCATGATTGGATTATTATTGGGCCATCCAATGTCAAGCAATTGGGCTAGAATAATTAATGGGCTTGAGGAGTTAGGCCCAATTTGGAAAATTGGGCCATAGATGGGCCATAGTTTGGGCCTTAATGATTATATGTGATGTTGGGCCTTAGAATAAAGTCATGTAAGGGGTTTGGGCCCAATTTGGAAAATTAGGCCATATGTTGGGCTTTGAGCCATAGTTGGACTTTTAGACCTTTAGATTGGGCTTTGGGCTTGAATAAGCCAAGATAGGGGTAATGTGGTAATTACCCAAAGCATGTACTTATGGTTATGAAGTGGAACCCAATTATTAATTGGGTAATGTTTTGATATTGACAGACCGAGAATCTGTCATCCAGCAGCTGGGGTTGAGTCTGCGGGACGTCAGCAGTGTGGGGTTGAGTCTTTGGGACTTCAACAGTGCGAGGTGAGTTACCTTCCAGTAGGAGTGGGTCTACGACCACAATGCCGACCCACTAATAAGAGTTATTTGTTAGATGATTGTCTTTGTGATAATTATCTGGTGTGTTGTTATCTGATATGCTTTATGTGCTAGGATGCTATGACATATGTGTTAGTAGTGGTAGGGCTGATATAGCCCATAGTTACCGGTTGAAAGATACCGAAGGGTAGATAGTACCCGTGCATGCCTAGCAGTATGATCATAAATGTTATTATGTGATAGTGGTAGGGGGTGAAATAGCCCCCGATTACCGGTTGAAAGATACCGAAGACAGTTACCGGTTGAAAGATATCGAAGATACCGAAGACAGTTACCGGTTGAAAGATATCGAAGGGATAGACAGAACCCATGTATGATATGCTATTAAGTGACCAATATGGTTATGATATGCCATTATGTGATTCCATATGTTTATGTTATGTTATCATGGAGCCAATATGTTATTATGTGATAGTGGTAGGGGTGAAATAGTCCCCGATTACCGGTTGAAAGATACCGATGGCGGTTACCGGTTGAAAGACACCGATGACAGATACCGGTTGAAAGATACCGATGATAGATACCGATTGAAAGATACCGAAGGGGTATACATAACCCATGCAATGCTTATCTATTTGTTTATGATATGTTGGTATGTGATCATTATGTTATGATGTTAGTATGTGATCAGTATGTTATGATGTTAGTATGTGATCAGTATGTTTATGATATATTGTTATGTGATGGTGGTAGGGGTGAAATAGTCCCCGGTTACCGGTTGAAAGATACCGATGACAGATACCGGTTGAAAGATACCAATGGTACTATGTGGTATGTGGTATGATGGGGGAACTCCCTAAGGTTCGTGCTTACGGTTTACAGTTTTGGTTTCAGGTGCTTTGTTTTCAAAGGAAAGGAGCCGGTTCGATCGCAACGCATCACACTATGTTTTCCGCACATGAGATTGTTGGTATTACACTCTGATACGCTTTTATGATAAAATGCTTTGATTATTGTCACTTGGGTTTTATGTAATAACCTAATTAAAAACGAAATTTTTGGCCTTGAATTTTAGGATGTTATATATATATATATATATATATATATATATATATATATATATATATATATATAGAGAGAGAGAGAGAGAGAGAGAGAGAGAGAGTTAGATTCAATTGTTTCTAGCATCTATTGTGTGCATATATGATTGATTTTGGATCAATCATTTTAGTTATTTTAAGAAAGTAATTAATTTATATTAAATGCTGAAGGTTTAATTAATACTCATAATATCTTCATCATGTAATATGCATTAATTACTTTCTTAAAATAATTAAAATGATTGGTCTAGAATTAATCCTACATGCACAAATAGATAGTTAGAACATAATAACCTAACTATATATATATATATATATATATATATATATATATATATATATATATATTCCCAAAATATCTAACATATGTGTGGCATGCATGCGTCGAGCGAAGTCACTCGCAACTTCTTCTTTTTGAAGTGTTCCATCACATGGTTAACTTCTTTGACGGGTTCTTTCTTTGTATGGTGAGATTTTCATTGGTGGGATCAAGGGACGGATGAAAAATATGAACCGTTTTCTAACATATGTGTGGCATGCATAAGTCAAGCAATTAAAGTCATTGGCAGCTTCTTCTTTTTGAAGTGTTCCATCACATAGTTAAAGTTTTTTGAAGGGGTTCATTCTTTGGTGAGATTTTCATTTGTGGGATGAAGTTTCGCAGAATAAACTTGAGCCCTTCTTTGCTATTCAAACTCTTAATTTCATATATATATTGCATTCGAACAAAGATATATTAGTTTTTAAGTCTTCGGCAAGAGAAATCCAAGATATGCATCTCATAAAACCATCTGATCCTTTCCTGTGAAGGAACATAATCATGAGTTTTTACAACCAATTCTCTCCATCTTATGATTATCATCTACCACCATGCGAATGGGGCTATGCATTAAAAGCGAAGTTGGACGATCAAGAAAGGTACAGTTCACCTATGCCATTGATTGGGATGTATATCGCATTAGCATCTCTATTCTGCATCCTTGCAATGGTGGCTGATCTTTTTCATGGTCTGAGGAACAGAAAGCTCTGGTTTCCGTGTAAATATTTCACTGTCAATGCTGCTTCTCTCACTGTGATAGCTGTTGCAATAAAGCTACCCATGGATCTAACTAATCTAATGCCAGGCTATGTTGACCAGGCTCCAAAGCTTGGAAGCCTAGGCTTTATGTGCACCATGATGGTTAATTTATTGCCTTCTCTTGCATCCATGGACAGCAAGGAGCTTGTCACAAACATGCTGGCTTTAGGTGTTCTTGTACTTACCTTGGTTGGGAATGTCTGCATTCAAATAAACACGGGAGTTTTATCATATCATGAAAGTAGCGATCCATACTATTTTCAACTTCATTATAAAGAAATCTCCCCATCTTTCTCACGTTTAGAAGGCAATGGTTTGATGGCAACTATTTATGCGGGTATGCTACTCATGTTGCTGATAATATTTGCATGTTCATCTATAGCCATTCTAAAGTCGAAGCAAATTCTGGAATCGAAATACCATGAAGCTCATGAAAAAGCTATAAAAGATCATCAAGAGCTTCAGCAACAAGGACAATTAACTGTTGAGAAGCTAAAGAAGCATGTGAGCAACTACTGGATCATGGCAAGAACCGGAAGCCCCCAATTCATGACAACTTGTTCTGCTACAACCGCTGCTTCTGGGGTAATATGTGCTTTTAGCACCATCTTACATATTGTTATTATGGTTTCCAATATTAGATCTCTAACAGACTACAAGTCGGATTATAAGTGGTCGATGTCAGTGATTTTCATTATACAGTTTATTGGAGTCACTGTGGGTACCATTGCCCCACTTTCTAGATGTTTTGCAGTTTTAAGCTTTAAGTTGTCGGTAAAATGGATTTGGAACAATATCAAGGTCTTTAAAGTAGAAAGCTACTGGACTCGAAAGTTGTATGATTGGAAACTGAGTAGCACACCATTCCCATATTTACAAATTCTTGTTCTCAACGTTTGCATAGGATTTCAGAAGATAGTGGTAGTAGCATGCAAAATGATAGCTGTGATTCCAAATTTCTCTGTGATATGTGTCTTGTATTGTTTCCAATTTTGGAAGCGGTTAAAGGCCATGTTTAAGGCGTCGAGCGTTGTGTTGGTACAAAATCCTGAGCAATTACAAGAAGGAAATGAAAATCTTAGTTGCTACGTTTTACAACTTCAAGAGGATATAGAGTTTGCTAAGAGAACATTGAAAGGCATTTTAAAATCTGTGAACCTTTTGATCCAAAAGGCTGAAAAACAACAACCTAACAATCTTATGAAGCTTCTTGCGGAATCTAGAGGATTTGAAGGGGTTGGAAAGTTTGAAAGCCATCGTGTCCCTCCTTTACTTTCAGAAGAATATCTCAACTGTTGGAGTTTGCCATTGGTGACTCTGACATCCATCGCCATGTCTCTTCCAAACATCCAAAAGAACAAAGTCGATTGCTTGGTGAGTGGTGTGAGTGAAGGTCTTGTATATGTCAGACTTGTGGAAGAAACCCTCAATGCTACTGATAATCATGTAAGCATTCAAAAGGCGGCTAAAACTTTGTGGGTAGAAGTTGAAGTCTACCACAAGTGGTTAGGAAACAAGCTACCAAAACCTAAGCCTAAAGTGAATAAACCAGGATATATTCTTCAATGGTTAAGGGATACAGCTAAAAACAAGGCCAATGAGGTGGAAAGCAAAAATGATAACTCCAAATACAAGTCTATTTGTGCCAATTCAATGTATCGTATCACCGAAACAATCCTGCTCTCATACCACGAGAACATTGACGAGATTAGCCAAGAGGAACTATTTGCACAGTTATCATCAATGATCGCTGATATATTAGCTGCTTGTCTCACCAACTTACCCCAAGTCATTGCAATGAAATGCCACGAAAATGCCATAGAAAAAAGGGAGGCGAGTGTCCAAGCTGCAGCCCAACTTCTTGGCGAGACTACACAGATAATCAACAGCCTTCAAGTTCGTGAACTTCCAAGTTTGAATCCAGACGAGTTAGCGTTTATTGACAAGTGGCGTGCTTACTTAAGCGACCCCTTTCCTTAATAAACACTACTTTAATTTGAGTACCCAAGTTTGTTTTATAAAGATTTGTTATAATTTCTTTTCTTTTCGCAAAAGATTATGTAATTTCCATTAATGCATGTTTTAAGACTTGAATATGAACAGAGAAGTAGTGGCCAGTATGTTATTCACCGGCAACACCCTCCACCTAAAAAAACGTATTCTGAATTGAGTGGCCATGCACCTTCACCATGTCTGTATCATTAGCATTCAGAAAGCACGTTGAGTTTGTGTTTATAGTTAATTTCCATGTTGAGTTTGGAATGGACCACAATGGTATCTCATTTTCCATAGTTGTGTCTTGATAACTGTAACACCCTTAAATTGGAAATTAGAATCCTATCGAAATTTCGGCATGAGAGACTTGACAATAAACTGACTAGAAACGAAAACTCCCAATTCGAAACCATAAACTCCCTAAATGAACATGAAATCAAGATGGTTTAGTGAGGGATCAAGATTTTGAATAATTGGTGGATGTTAGAACTTTAGAAGTATGATGGGGATTAGATCCGGTTCTAGGGTTAGAGCCGTTGCCTGTGTTCGAGAACACGTAATCTTCCAGATTAGTCGACGCCCTTCCCAAGTCAAGTGTATAACAGGTCGGTAGCGAATTTCCTGTGACCAATTTTTATTTAATTTTAATGATTTCATCCGCCTTTTCGAGGTCCTTCCATAGCTCCTCCCAATTAATTTTACACAACGTTGTAAGTTCTTGAAGTTGAATCTTAGGTATTCTTCGTGAAAGGGCGTCTGGCGCCCTATTTTCTTTTCATGGTCGGTAGATAATGTCAAACATGTATCCCAATAGTTTCAATAACCACCTTTGATGGTCCTCGATAACCGTTGTATTGTTCTAGTAAATACTTCAGGCTTCGATGGTTGGTATGGAGTATAAATCATCGATCCAGTAGGTACGACCGCCACCTTTGAACCGCGAGCACTATAGCCATGAGTTCACATTCATAAACTGATTTTAATCGGGCCCAAACTCACAAAACGTTGTTGTAGAAAGCAAGTGGTTTGTCTTATTGCATCAAAACCGCTCCAATGTCGTAACATGATGCATCCGTTTCTACCACAAAGACTTTGTTAAAATCTGGTAATGCTAGAACTGGTGTTTGCGTCATCGCGTGTTGTAGATTTCGAAATGATTTTGTCACTTCTTCGGACCATTTGAAACCATCCTTCTTCAATTGGTCAATCAACGGTAAAGCTATTTTTTCACAACCATGTACAAACTTGCAATAGTACCCTGTCAAACCCGAAAATCCTTGGAGCTCGCGCGAAGCGTCTTCGAAAGTGGCCATTCCATCATTTTGTTAATTTTGGTGGGGTCGGTCAACACCCCCTTTCCCGAGATGATATGAACCAAATACTCCACCTACGTTTGAGCCAAAAAAACACTTCTTTCGGTTAGCATAAAGATGGTTTTCGTGTAATACCTTGAATACCGTTATGAGATGCGCCATGTGTTCCGTTGCCGTTTTGCTATTGACTAGTATGTCATAGAAAAATATCGGTACAAAGCATTGTAACAGTGTGGGAAAATGACTTAAAATGACTTAAAAGTCCAACAAAGTTTTCAAACCGTTTATAAAACCCCAATCATCTTTTGTCTGTTCGAAAAAACCCAACAAACTTAACATTTTATCTAAAAAGCCCAACTAAGTTACACTTTCTCGAAAGTCAAATAAGAGAAACAGATGACGTGGCTTATTACCGTACCGGAAAAATGATTTGTTAGACCAATGAAGTTTCCAAAACGTTTAAAAAACTTCAATCATGTTTTGACTGTTCAAAAAAACCCAACGAACTTAAACAAAACAAAATTGGAATTTTCTGAACGGTTTGAAACTTTGTTGAACTTTTTAGACAAAATGTTAAGTTCGTTGGTTTTTTTGAACAAACAAAAGATGATTGGGGTTTTTTCAATGGTTTGGAAACTTCGTTGGGCTTTTAAGTCATTTTCCCTAACAGTGTCTGAAACTTTGTTCATGAGTGTTTGAAAGGTATTCGGGGTGTTTGTTAGCCCAAATGGCATCACTAAAAATTCATAGTGGTCACCGTATGTTCGAAACGCTGTTTTGGGCACATATTTTGATTTCATTCAGATATGATGGTAGCTTGTCTTTAGATCAATTTTAGAAAACATTATGGCACCGTAAAAATCATCTAAAAGTTTTCTATCATGTTTATCGAAAATTTATCTATAATCGTGGCTTTGTTTATGGCTCAATAATCTAAGCGAAACTTACAACTTTCATCTTTCTTTTTGACCAATAATATGAAATTAGAAAAACGACTCGTGCTTGGTTGGATGAGGCCCGCATGTAACATTTCTCGCACCGGTTTTTCGATCTTGTCTTTTTGCGTGAATGGGTAATAGTAGGCTTTTACACTAATTGGGGTTGTACCCTCTTTCAAGATAATCGTGTGCTCATGGCTGCGAGACGAGGAAGATCGTCTGACATCTCGAATATGTCGTGATACTCGTCGACCACGGCTTGGAATTGCCGTCGGAACTTAGGGTGATGTTGCAGTTATTTTTTCTATCGAATTGAAGTGTAATAGAAAACCAGTGCTTTCATGTTTTAGTATTCGGCAGAGACTTACATGATACTAACAACTTAGATAGACTTAGGTAACCCATAAGGGTGACTTGACGATTTCCTTCATAGAATGTCATTTGTAGATCGTGCCAATTAATGGTCATATCTCCTAGAGTTTGAAGCCATTTAATTTCAAGGATGATGTATGAACTTCCAACTTGTAACGGGTAGAAATCTTCTATTACTTGACATTGGGGTAGGGTAAGCATAACCCTTTTGCATGTTCTTGAGCTTTGATCGATCATCTTGTTACCAAAACATACCCTCACAGATACCGTACTAGATATTGCCAAACCGAAAAGCTCCACCACCTATTTTTACAGAAAGTCATGGGTTGCGTCGGAATCGACTAGAATGACTACTTCTGTTCCTCCACGGACGCCTTTGAGCTTATTGGTTTGTGGTGATGTAAGATCGGTAACTAAACTCAGAGATACCTCTAGGCAAGGTCCGAGTTTTCCTCCTCTCCTTCACTTGTATCATACTGGTAACTGTAATGTTTTTCTTCAGCAATTGTGTTTAGGTGTGAACTTCGCATCACATCAGAATCATATTCTCTTTGCCTATTTTTCTGCCAATTCTGCTTTCGTCAGTCGTTTGACCACACCTCTCGTGTTTTTGTGTTTTTCTTGTCTCCTTTAGGTGTTGTAATAGGTGTGTCTGTGAAACTTGGCTTTGTTGTTCCCCCAGACCCAATTCAATTCGGATACGAATTGCCCCGGACTTTGATAACGACGGTGGTTTTGTTTTCGTTAATCTTAACCGCCATCCTCATTGCTTTAGCTAGGCTTTCAGGTTTTAAATTTTTTATTGTCGATTGGAGGTCCAATTTTAACCCTTTAATGAAAGTTCTCACCAAAATATTCTCAGGTATGTCAAGAAGTTGTTCGGCTAGGCTTTCAAATTTGCTGACGTATCATCACGCGGTTCCTACTTGTTGAAGGTTTTAAGTTTTTTCTTGTGACTCTTGAAAGCGATCCAGTAGCTTGCGTTTGAATGTTTCCCATGAACGACATGGGGTCATGAGCTCATTCCAGCGATACCATGCAAGTGTTGCTCCCTCCATATAGATTACAACTGCCCGAAATCGATCTTTTTCTCCAAAGTCGTGAATCTCAAAGTACCTTTCAATCCGATAAATCCAGTCGTAAACATCATCTCCTTGAAGGATTGGCATGTTGATCTTGCGAAAGTCATGCAACGGGTCCCTAGGTTTGCCTCCAACATTCCTTTTTTGTGAGCCTACTGATTCTTCCTCCTCATTCTCATCATCCAAGAATGATCCAAACTCGATTTTTGGTTCGTTTTCTTTCTTTTTTTCCTCCTTTATTCGAGCTTTCCTTGTTGAAAACAAGTGATAATAATTAATTCGACTCACAGTATCTAATACTTTTATTCAAGAACAAAGGGGCTTTTAGAGCCATTACAAAACAAAAAGAACGAGAAAGACTCAAAACATAAAAAATTTAATATATATCCCTAATTCTTGTTCAACACGAAGAAGAAGGGAACGACCTGGTATTTCAGATTACTAAGTCATACTGACTCTTGGCTTGGGCCTTATTTCATACACAACCTAAAACGTTGGCTAACCCAAAAACATTGAGATTGGCCCAATAAATTCCTTCCCTTAAATAGGTAATCATTGAGCTTCTTGTTTAACATCTTTTACTCCAGTTTCTTCTCTGATGAATTCAAATGTAGCTAAAGTCAATGGCTTGGTCATCATGTGTGCTTTGTGCCATAAAACTTTAGTAGTATAATGTCTTTGTTCACTAATTCTCTGATATAGTGAAAACGAACATCTATATGCTTTGTTCTTCTATGCATTACTGGATTCTTTGATAGCTTTATGGTTGAACAATTGTCACATATAACCTCCACAATACCTGCCTTTTCTTCAAGTTCTTAAAGACCTTTCAACCATACACAATGACATGCGCATGTTGTAGCTGCAACATATTCTGTTTCTGTTGATGATAAAGTGACAACTTCTTGTTTTCTAAAACTCCAACATATTGCAGCTCCACTGAATAAACATACATATCTAGAGGTACTTTTCCGGTCCTCTAGACCACGTGTATAATTACTCTCAGTAAACACTTTTAATGTCTGTTGCGTGCAAATAGCTACACCTAATTTTATATTTATAACCTAACAAACTTAACTAACTAGATTGCATCTAGGCAGTGTACCTAGTCAAATTATAGAATAACCGGATAAGTCGGGTGTTGATCACAGGATACGGTTTGACTAATTAATTTATCTACTACTAAATTAACCTAATTATTAACAAAGAAATGAAATTTTAACTAATTTTGTAAGTTTAGATGAACTTAACTCTTTAAAACAAATTCAATCAATTACTAC